CGTCGCAGCGGCCGCGCGAAGTGGTCCCAAGTCAAGCCTGGACTAGACCTTCCCGGACAAAAGCAAGGCCACCAGTATCTGGAGATCCTCCGCCGCTGGGGTGACCCCGACCACTCTCACCTCCCCCACCCGCGGGACCTGCCGCTCTACCGGGCTGCGCTCCTGGGGACCGGGGGTCCCAGACGCCCGACAGTCCCCTCCGCTAACATCCCGGCCGCGCGTCAGGGTGCAGGTTCTAGGGAGCTCATCTCGCCAAGGCCACCGCAGGAGCCGCGGCCGCTCTGCTTCCCCGCATGCGGGCAACGCAGCTTCTCCCGAAGCATATAGTCTGTCCCACCGCGGAGGAAGGGAGGTGGGGGACGCACCCAGGACAGGTCTGCCCCCTCTGTCCCACTTCCGTGCTGGGTGGAGCGGCTCTGGATTCATTAGACCCACTAAAGCCAAAAGTGAAGGAAAACGGAGCTACAAGGGGAGGGATTAGCGTTCCTTCCAAGACCAGAAATGTAAGAGGCACTACAGGGTTCCTCGGGGGCGGAAGAGATTTAAGGGAGGGCCCGCGCGCGGCTGGGGTACCCCACAGCCCAAGTGAGGTGGGGGCAAGCAAGAGTACTGGTCTGGCGTAAGCCTCACCGACTTTCTCCTTTTTGGGTGGTTCTGCGGATTGGGCCCAGGGTCTTCGTGCTGGGTGTATCTCCAGCCCTTTAAACTTTTTTTTCTTTAAAAAAAAATTTGAGACAGAGTCTTGCTAAATTGCTCAGGATGGGCTCAAATTTGTAATCCTCCTGCCTCAGGCTCCCAGAGTGCTGAGATTACAGGCATGCGTCACCACATCATAGTTTTTGGTTTTTCCATCGTGGAAAAAATTGCTTCTGTAGTCTGGGACATAAATGCTGCTGTGGGGTGCAGATAAATTTGTTGTCTGGGTCCTTGTCCTTGGCACCAGCAGGCACAGAAGCAAGCATGAGGGGCCCAGGCACACTGCAGGTGCCAGGAAGTTCCTCACCCAGCCCCATCCTTCTGCCCACCACCCCTTCTCTCTCCTCTCTCAGCACGGTGCTCGGCGCAAGAACCACTGCACTACCGCACTCCCGTAACAAGGATGACAGCAATTCCAACATTTACTATGTCCTTAATATGGGTTTTTTTTTTGTATTTTTTTGTCTTTTTGAGACAGGGTCTGAATATGCAGTTCAGGCTGGCCTTGAGCTCACTTTGTAGCCCAGGCTGGTCTCGAACTCACAAGGATCCTCCTGCTTCAGCCTCCCAAGTGCTGGGATTACAGGTGTGCGCCACCACGCCCGGCTGTGTCCTTCATTTGGTACCTGGCGCAGTGCTAAACATTTTACATGTACTTGCTCCTTACAGTTCAGAGAAGTGGGTGCTGTCCTTAGGTCCATATACAAACATGTCCACGGAGCACATGGGAATTACAGAGACAGTCCAAGGTCACTCAGTTCCATTCTCTTCCTCCTGGACCCTTCCCACCCGAAAGCCCCAGTCCCTCCCCTCTGCCCCAGCCTCTACCCTGGATAGCGCTCTGTGATTCACCTCCACACCCTCCAGACTGCCCTGGACCCTGAGCCCCTGCCTCTGTCTGATCACACACCATCCTCCCCTAGTCTGAGTCTGGCATGAGGGGGCATAGCTGGCACCAGGTTGCTCAGGGAATAAAAAGGTCTAGGGCATGACCAGGATGCCCATCCCCACCCAGGACTCACCAAAGGAGCCCCACAGGCCCCACAGCCCCTGCAGGTCTGGCACCTGCATCCCCCCTCCATGTTCCCTGTGGGTCTCTGCAGATGCCCTGAAGGCTGGGCTCCTCCAGGATCTGGCAGGAGCTTTGCTGTCAGCTCAGTGTGACCAGGAAAGGCTAGAGACAGAGGGGAAAAGGGAGTCAGCAGCACCATGCAGCCCAGCTTTCAGAGAAAGAGCAGAAATGCACAGTGGGAGCCTGTGAGGGGCAGGGCCTAGAGGCAGAGTTAGGGGAGGAGAAGGATATGGGGTGCAGAAGGCAAGGAGCATCAGAGCTGCTTCCTGGCTCTGCAACCCTGAGTGAATGCCTGTCCCTCTCTGGGCTTCAGCCTCCCCATCTGTAGGATGTGGGAAGGGCAGAGGAAGAGGCTGGCAAATTCTGGCTCTTCAAGAGACACCAGGGTGGGCCTGGCTGCACATACCTCCCTCCTACCCTAGAGAAGACAGCCCCTCCTCCTTCTGGCTCCCCCAGAGCCTCAGTCCAGAGGCTCCAGGGCCACAAGAAACTACCATGGAAGCCAGGCATGGTAGCGCACGCCAGTAATCCAAGCACTCTGGAGGCTGAGGCAGGATGGTCATTTAGAGTTAAAGACCAGCCTGGGCTACAAAGTGAGCTCAAGGCCAGCCTGAACTACATAGCGAGACTTTGTCTCAAAAGGACAAAGAAAAAAAAGAAGCTACCATGGCCACCAATCTCCCATTCGTATCCATCCTCTCGGTCTGGATCTGCCCATAAACCAGTCTTGGGGTGTAATTGCCACCCCTTCCTTCTCGCCAGAGAGTCTCAAGTCCCAAGGGTGTTGCCTCTGAGACACTGCTGAGAGGCTTAACCTACTGGTGGAATTTCTGACCCCTTCTAAAAGGGGTGCTGCTTTTGGTTTGTTTCACTTTCTGGTGCTGACGATTGAACCTAAGATCTTTGCACTGAGCTGCATCCTCAGTCCTTTTACTCATCTTTGTTTTGAGACAGGGTCTTTCTATGTAATTCAGGCTGGCCTTGAACTCACTATGTAGCCCAGGCTGGCACTGAACTCACAGTGACCCTCCTGCCTCAGCCTCCCAAGTGCTGAGATAATAGGTATGCAACATCACACCAGACTGAATTTTTTTTTTTTTAACAGTTTTTGTTTTGGCAGTGCTGGAGATTGAACCCAGGGCTTTGTGCATGCTAGGCAAGTGCTCTACCACTGAGGCACATCCCAAGCCATCCTAGTCCATTTCTGAGACAGGGTCTCACTAAGTCACTGAATTGCTCTGGCTGAGCAAAGCTGTCACTATGCACTCCAGGCTGCCTTTGAATTCTCAGTCCTGCCTCAGCCTTCCAAATAGTTTGGGTTATAGGTGCTCACTACCACATTCAGCTCCTGGTGGCCTTTGTTTTTTTTCTTTCTTTAGTATGGGGGGAATCAAACCCTAGAGCACTCTACCACTGAGCACCTTTTATTTTTTAATTTTGAGGTAGGGTCTCACTAAGTAGCCCCTGGCCTTCAAGTTGCCATCCTGCTGCCTCAGCCTCCTGGGCTGAGATTGCAGGCATGTGCCACCATGCCCCGCTCCTGGGGGCCTGTGACACTGCACTGAGATGGCTGCCTCCAAGGGGCTGAAAAGAGGAGCTGCACCTGGGGCCTAGATGCCCTTCTTGGACGTTATGCCCAGGACTGGCTGAATTATTTATGAGGCTCGGTGCAGAATGAAAATGCAGAACCAGTTCACAAGCTAAGACCTTAAAGGTGGCAGGAGTAGAGCATTAAACTGGGCACTGGTGGCAGCCCCACAGGGTCAGCCTGAAGGTGCCCACAGAGCACGTGTTCTCCTCTGTCCCCTCCACAGGGCTCTGCCCTCCACTAACAGAGACCTCCCTCCTGGCTGGCTCCCAGTTCTGCCTCTGCTGGTGGCCCAAGTGGGTGGCCGACTAAGTACTGAAGTGGCACTGGGGCTGGACCCCAAGGGGCTGGAAGTACAGCCCTGGCTTGGATGTGGCCAGGCTGTAAGTCTAGCTCCAGTATCGCCTCCTACTTTGTTCTTCCTTGAGGACCTCTTAGCTTGGGGTGAGAGCGGGTGAGGGATCCATTCTCTGACCACAGCAGAGCTACCCAAGGGTGCCTTGCAGTGGGTGGATCTGGGTTAGTCCCCAGTTGAACCAAGATCACTGGGGCAGACATGGGGACGATGGTGTTCGACACACAAGGACCTGTGGCTGAGGCTCCCAGCCAGCCCCCTCCCCTTCACTGGGCCTACCCACAGTGCACTACTGCTCAGATGTCCAGGGCTGGCAGCTGGCCTGTGAGTCTGAGTCTTGGCCTCTCGCCCAGCCATATTCCTTCTTGGGGTGGGGGATCAGTCAGGGACTGAGCTCAGCCTCAGCTGGGGTAAGGAGGTACTAAAATCAGTCTCTCCTCTAGCCCAGATGTGGGGAGGGCAGACAAGGCCAGGGGCAGTGCCCAGGGTGAACAGGCGGGCAGTATGCATGGCCATGCAGCTGCTCAGACATGTGGGCCAGGATGGGGGGGTGCACCGTGAGAATGAGGAGCCTCCTGTGAATGCCAGGGGCAGGAGGGGGCAGTGTGTGGTCACCTGTGAGTGTGGCCTCTGCAGAGTGGCTGAGCTGCCTTCTTAGAAGGCACCTCTGAGGGTCAGGTGGTTTGGGGATCACTGTATTTAGTTCCCAGGGCCTCCAAGCTGGGTCAGACTCAGGCCAGAGTTCCATCCAGGGGGCAGCAGGGTATCATCAGGATACTGCCCCCCGCCTTACTTTAGTGGCCCTGTCCTAGTGTTTGGCTGATGAGCCGGGGTACACCTGCAGGACACAGGCTGGACCTGCTCCTGTCCTCTCAGGCCTTCCAAGGGGTTGAGCAGCCTTAGGCCAGCTCACAGCCGACCTGACCAGGTCTGGCCTGGTCCTGCCCTTGGTGCTTTTTAACTCCTGGGTGGGCAGGGCCCCTGTCCTAGGCTGAGCCTGGCAATCTCGTGATGAGGAAAGCCCCAGAATGGCCGCCGCGCCTCCTGGGCACACAGGGGACCCTCAGCTCCGTGCAGCTGGGTGATGGGCTGGGCGAAAGGATGTGGGCAGAACAGCCCTATGCTGAGCCCGATCCATAGACGCCACCCGGCAACCTTCCCTTTGCCTCATTCCCTGTCTGTAGACAAGATATGGGGGCCCCCGGGCCAGCAGGGTCTCTAAATGCGTGTCCACTTTCTCTCCTCCTGAGAGGTGAGAAAGGTGCAAGAGAAAAACACTTCCACAGAGCTGGGCCACTGGGATTCTGGGGTTTATCTGCTAGAACAGATGGTGTCACCTCAACTAATAAGGTTTGGTCAAAGTTGCCTGAGATCCAGGACGCTGCTGAGCCCCCATCAGCCTCCATGGGTGTGACAGGGGGAGGTCGGGAAACATCTGAATTCCGGGGCCCTGTGCCCCCACCTTGCTGTCATGTGTTCCTTCAGGAAGGTGCTTCTGGGGTGGGGACTCTTGCCCGCCAGGTCTCAGGATAGGGCCCATATGCCTGCCCCACTCAGGCTGAAGGTCCTTCCCTCTGTCCTAGGCCACCCGAGGGTTGGGTGTGCAAGCCACAGGTGCCACTCATGATGCCGCCCCCTCTCAGCCAGGGGTCTTCTCTGTGGGGGTGGGAAGCAGGCCAGCTGCCACTTGGTCCTGGTGCCACAGCTGCTCTGCGAGGCCATTGAGCACATGGGCAACGTCTACCAGCCCAGCCCGGCCATCCAGCGTGCGCCCATCCGCCAGCCGCCGGCCCGGCACGCTCTTCACCCGCAGCAGGGGCAGCTCCCACGCCTGCCGGAAGGTGGTGAGGTCCCGCTCAGGCACGTCCGTGTGCATGTACTGGTCAAATCTGGAAGGGGCCAGTCAAGGATCCTGGCCAGGTATCTCTGCTGCCCGTGCCACAGGACCCCACACCCAGGGGCTGGGGTAGCCATTCCCCACTCTTTATGAAAAAGCCCACAGCGGGACCCCACAGCTGGACAGAGGCAGGGTCTCTGACCCTCGTGCTCCCTGTTTGTCAAGGGTGGCCTCTGATGTCCCAGGGCTATCCAAAGGATACTTGGAGCCAATGACCACCCTGACGACACCAGGGGCCTCGCCTGCTACGCGGGCCAGCTGCCCAGGCAGGTCTTCAAAGGAGGCACGGTCAGTGAAGGAGAAAAGGAAGAGGAAGGCGTCCGCGTTCTCCTTGCAAGCCTGGGGATGCACAGGCCGGCTCTAAGCAAGTGACCACATGGCCACAAACCCACAGAACCGGAATCCTCTAATCAGCCACAGGGCCCACAGGAGAATCAGCAACAATCCCTTCCTCACAGATGGGGAAACTGAGGCCCATAGCAGGGAATGGCTGTCCTAGGGTGGAGTTCTGGCTGGGACCCAATCCCAGTGAGGACTCAGGGCTCTACCGCCCAGGACACCACCCTGAGCTCATTCGTGCCCGCCCCAGGCTCCCAGTGCCTCAGGCCCCTGGCCCGAAGCCAGCTCACCGGCAACATGTGGTCAAACTTTTTGAGTGCAGACTCCCCGCAGTCCCAGAACTCAAAGCGGAACATGACGACCCGGTTGCTGGCCTGCAGCTTGGCTGGCCAGAACACCACAGTGGTCTGGATGCCTGAGGAGGACCAGGGTCAGCCATGCAGCATGGCAGAGGCAGCAGTGGACAGGGATGGGGGAGCAGGAAGGAATAGGGCCCTGGTGCACCCCGCATCTGATGTGGAAGGCATGATCCCTGAGCTGGGAGACGCTTGTCTTGTGTCAGGAACAGGGCCTTGCCCTGAAGGAGCCCCTGGTGCACCAGTGGGACAGGGGAGCCAGTGTGGCTTTTCAAGGTCACAGAGGAAGTAGGAAGTTAGGGACAGACCCTAGCTGGTGTGGTGAGAGCCAGGCCTTCCGGAAAAGGCCCCCAAGGACGGCACTGGGCAGGGCCACTCACCAGGGGTCTCGTGGTGCACCGTGGGCACCTCCAGTCCAGCCAGCTTGGCCACCAGCGCTGTCTTCCCCACGCCACTCTTCCCAGACACAAAGATCTTGTAGCTGGCCGTGTCAATGGCCACAGGCGGAGACAGCAGTGGCCGCTCAAGCAGCCCTGGGCAGGGAGGAACCAGGCAGTCAGGGAGTCAGTCCTGATCTTGCCCAGTGGGCCTAGGACAGATGACATTACCTCTAAAGACTTTTTTTTTTTTTTTTTTGGTGCTAGGCGCTTGTGCCACTGAGCTATAATTCTAGCCCTGGACTCACTATGGAGCCCAGGCTGGCCTCAAACTCGTGATCTTCCTGCCTCCAGCTCCCAAGTGCTAGGATTACAGGTGTGCACCAGTGTGACAGCTTCACTCAATCTTTTTATAATTTGATGCATAAAATAATTTTTAATTCTGTTATGACATATTCTAGATTTTCCATACACGAGTATGGTCCTTCACAACTTCTCTCTCTCCGTCTCTGTACTGGGGCTGAACCCAGGGGTTCTCTACTACTGAGGCACATTCTAGCCATCCCCTCTTTGCTTTATTGAGACAGAGTCTCTCTATGTAGTTCACTATGTAGCCCAGGATGGCCTCCAACTCCTGATGATCCTTTTGCCTCAGCCTCCCCAGTGCTAGAATTACAGGCATGCACCACCATGCCAAGGCCCAGCCCCTTTTATGTTTTTAGTTTGAGACAGAGTCTCAATAAGTGATCAAGGCTAGTCTCAGACCTGTGATCCTCCTGCCTCAGCTTCCTGAGTTGCTGTCATTACAGGCATGCACCCCTGTGCATGGGTTTCCTTTTTTATTAGAGAAATATTATCAACAAAGGTAGTTTCAGTTACTAAATAAACCCTATAGAATCAATGTATTGAGACCTTTACAGGGGTTTTTAACCTTTTAACCCTTTTAACTCCAAGATGAATATAGCTATTATGTATGCAAACATATATTAAGGCCAGGCATGGTGGCAAACACCTGTAATCCCAGCACTCAGGAGGCAGAGGTAGGAGGATCACCACAAATTCGAGGTCAGCGTAGGCTACATAGTGAGTGCAAAGCTTGTCTGAACTACACAGTGAGACACTGTCTCAAAAACAAACAAACATATTATATATACATATATATGTATACATATATATGGAAAAAAACAAAAGACTAACAACAGGGCTACAGGTTAACAAACTGAAAGTCCTAGACTGGGATGTCCTCACTCCTTGCTCTTAAGACTGCCAAAGTTTTTTGGTTTTTTGAGACAAGGTCTTGCCATGCAGTCCGGGCTAGCCTTGGACTCGCTATGTAGCCCAGGCTGGCCTGGAACTCGTGCTATGCTCCTGCCTCAGCCTCCTGGGTACTGGGCAGGAGGACAGCAAGACTGCCAGAGTTTTGTCTCACCACTCATGCCTAGGCTCTGACAGCTGATTCCAGGCCCCTGGGCCAACAGCCTCACAGGGGTGCACCGGCTGCGTCCCGGCCATAGGGGGTGGGAGAGGCTGTCCTCTGCTTACTAGAGCGGGGCCTCTACAGTGCTGCTGAGAAGTGAAATGCCGCCGCTGTGTCCAGTGCCCGGCGGAGGGCCCACCACCAAGTGAGGTTTCGGTCACCAGTATCTCTGGTGTCAGCAGTTGCGGGCAGGGTTTCAGCTGTTTCCGCATTCCTGGCTCTGTTAACGGAATCAGCTCTGGGGAGATTTGGGGGTGGGGACCTAGGGATGGGGCTTCCAGGGGCCCGCAAGGCCAAGGAGCACACTGGAGCAGGGCCTCACTGCTTTGCTTCTGTGCAGCTCCACCAAGCAACAGGTGACACTGCCCCCCCCCCCCCAGGGAGCGACGAGTGACAGGATGGGGAGGGGGCACTTACCAAACACCCGCCGGCGGTTCTTGCGCAGGATGCAGGCAAGGTACTCCTTGCCCTCGGCTGTCTCGTGCCAGTCTGGGACAATGACCGAGCCGTGCGCAGGTCTGGCCATGACTGAGCACCCCAGCAGGTAGGAATGCTGAGCGCGGAGCGCAAGGGCGGGAGGCGTAGCTGTCCCAAGCCGGACCTGTGATCCCTCCTAACTGCCCTGTCCCTGTCCCTGTCCCTCTCCCTCTCCCTCTCCCAGAGCCCCAGCTCCCCACTCGGAAGGGCAGTTCCCTAACCCCTCGCCCTCTTGCTCCTGGCCACCGTCATCCCATTATTGCCCGGGAACAGTAATGGCACAACTCCTCCTTAAAGGATCTGTCCCTTACCACTTCCGGGGGTGGGGGATCACAGACCTGCCTCTCCTCTACCACCTCGATCCCGACTCTCTGGGCTACCCGGCCTTTACCGTGAGCAGTCCCCACCAGGAAACCGGCTGCGGTGGAAACGGTCCCTTTAAAAGCCCGCGCTGTGCTCCGCAGCTTAGCTTAGCCTAGGAGGCTGGCTTCGGTCTTGCGTAGTCTTCCGAGAGCACCGCCAGCCCAGTGTGGTGCCTGAGGCGCATGTGCGGAGGCTGTTGCCATGGAGACGCAGGGGGCGGGGCTGCTGAGGTTCCTGCCTGGGTGTCCTTTGTAGGAAGTCTTGGACTAGTGCTGCGCTGACAGACAGGACCTGCCCTTCAGGGTCCTGGGTTCTCTTCCCCACTCGTCCTAGCTCCTCTTTCCTCTCAAACTTGACAGAATCCCTCCCTCTCCAGAAATGTCCCATCCCTGCTGTGCCTCAGTTTCTTCTTTAAAGTGGATGTAAAATGCCATATATATTATAGGGTAGGATTATTTATAACAGTCTCTGGTCCATAGCGATGCTCAAGTTTAATTATTGTTACTAATATTACTGATCTATTTAAAATTAACATTTATATATACATTTATTTATTTCTGTACGGGGGATGGAACCCAAGGGTCCACTATCCCTAAACTATACCACCATCTGTTTTTTTTTGAGACACAGTCTTGCAAATTTGCTCAAGGGGCCCGCAAGGCCAAGGAGCACACTGGCCTCAAATTTATGATCCTCCTGCCCCAGCCTCTCAAATACTATCATTATAGGTGTATACCACCAAACCTGGTTTGCAGTTTTTCTTAAAAGTAAAATTGTAAACTTTTGATTTTCTTTGTCTCCTTTCTACTTACCTTTAGAGTGTGTATTAGTCAGCTTGAGCTGCTGTGATGAGTAGCACAGACTGGGGGCTTAAGCAGTACAGATTAACTTTCCATAGTTTTGGAGGCTGAAAATCCAAACTCAAGGTCCCAGGTGGGTTTCTGGCAAGGCCATCTCTTGCTGCGTCTTCAGGTGGCCTCTTCTCTGCACCCTCTCTCCTATCTCTTTTTCTTCTCATAAGGGCACCAGTCTTACTGGGAGTAAGGCCCCACTGTCACGATCTCTTTGGACCTTAATTACCTCCTTAAAGGACCTGTCTCCAAATGCAGTCTGCCTGGGGTTAGGGCTTCCAAGTAGGGTTCAGCCCATGACAGCGCCTGTAGACTCACTCAGATAAATGCTACTGCTGGGGACAGGGAACCCGCCACCTGCAGGGGCCTGGGAGTGACCGATCAGGACTACATTTTGGAAGGACGATCATGGACCATCTCCATCTGATAGGCTCCACTGTCCTGTGCCCTCTGATCACTAAGTCTTCTGCAGCAGGAGTCGCTGAACCAGCAATCCTGCAGGGGTGGGTTGGGTTCCTTACCACAGCTGCAGTCCTCAGGTGGGGCCCGTGGGCATCTCCCTGTGGCCCTGCTGGAGGAGAACCCTCGGGTGAATCTTCTCCCATCTGCCTGGTTCCAGCTCCCAAGTCTGTAGTTCGCGCCTCCTGACAAGGCCTTGAAAGCAGTCGTCAGCGGGGAGATACCAGCCTGGAGCAGACGGAGACCCAGGCGGGCACACACAGAGGCCTGAGTGGAGGTGAGGACCGGTGAGTGAGGCCTGGCCGGCCCTACCTGAGGATCCTGAGGGGGAGTGGACAGGACCCCAGGCCTGACACCCCGCTTTGGCTTCCCACGGCCCTGGAATGACGTCCACTCCCCGCTCCCATGTCTTGCAGGGCCCCTCACGCCTGTACTCCAGCCATGCTGGCCTTTTCAAGTACAGGCCCACCTCAGGGCTTTTGTTCTTCCTGCTCCCTCTGCAGGGATCGCTCTACCTCCCACATCTTCCCATGCTGGCTTTTAAAATTTTTTTCTGGGCTGGGGATTTAGCTCAGCTGCACAGCACCTGTCTGGCAAGCACAAAGTCGTGAGTTTGATTCCTGGTACCAGAAGAAAAACAACAAAAAATAAAAATTTTTTTCTTCCCAGTAGGGGGGATTGAACACAGATCCTTTGCACTGAGCTACATCCCCAGCCCTTGTATTTTCTATTATTTTGAGACAAGGTCTTTTGAAGTCACTAAATTGCCCAGGCTGGGCTTGGACTTTTGATCCTCCTGCCTCAGCCTAGAGTAGAGTGCTGGGAATACATGCATGCATCACCATGGCTGGCTTCTTTATGAGTTTCAGCTGCCACGCTGCCTCTACAGAAAGGGCATCTTAAATGAGCAAACCTGTATCACACTGTCACATTCTGTCACCACATCACCCTCTGAGGTGGCCTTACCTAGCACAATTTTTACACACGTCTGTCCCTTTTCCCCTACCTCATGCTCAAAGGTGAAGTCCACAGGGTGGGGACAATACCTGGCAACCACTGGGGACCACAGTCCATATATAGCTATTGAATGCAGGGACAAGGGCTGGCCAGACACCTCCACCTCCACTCCTGACCCAATCACCTGTGATGAGGCTGAGGGTTTTCTCCCCGAGCTTGGATCCGATCCAGCACGCCAGGCAAATGCTGTCTCACGAGGCCACAGTCCCACCCACCCAACACATCTTACTGTCCTCTCCTGGTTACCACTGCCTTGGCCTGGACATCTGTTCCTGGGCCCCACCTCTCCTTCTCCCAGTCCGTTCTCTACTTCCACTGTACCCGCTGTAGCCAGTGTCCTCGAGGTTCTGGAAGAGCCTGTCACTGCGTCTCTACCTCTGTGCCTTTGCACAGGGGGCTCCCTGACCTACACACCTGTCCTAACTCTTCCCGTGCTTGGCAGGCACCTTCTCCTCTGGGTTCCAGGCACCCCTGGCTTCCCTCCTCATCGGAGCAAGTATGCATGTTTACCAGCACAGATGCAGATGTATAAGAAATAGACCTTCCAGCAGGGGACAGTAGTGCACATCTGTAATCCCAAAGACTTGGAAGGCTGAGGGAAAACAACCACAAGCTTAATTAAGGCCAGCCTGGGCAAACAGCCACACCCTATCTCAAAATGAAAAAATACGAGGCTGAGGCAGGAGGATCACTGTGAGTTCAAGGTCAGCCTACGCTACATAGTGAGTTCAAGGTCAGTCTGAACTACCTAGTAAGACCCTGTCTCAAAAAAACCAAGAAAAAGAAAGATAAACTTGAGGCTTTTACAGGTGAATGGTCACAACTAAAGACCATACTCATAAGTGAAATAAACCAGACCTCCATGTGTAAGCAACGTATTGTCTCACTAGTGTGAGAACCTGAAAGAGTGAGTAAAAATTAGGAGGTATGATAGACATTGTGAAACGAAAGGAAAATGCTTAAAAATAAAGAGCAACTGGGGTAAAGGAACAGAGAAAAGAAAGAAGGGGAAATTATGTATGTATGTATGCATATACCGGAGAGCTAACATAGTTGTACTACTGACTTCTATCGCTTTACTGAAAGGAACAGTTAATGATTACTTATTTGGTCAATCTTGCATGTCTCTTTTTGTTTTCCTGAGAAACCACTTTGAAGATATCAATGTGTAATACAACAACCATTGTTAATTTCCTACCACTTTGTCTGTAACTCTGTATTGTATTGTTCTTACGCTATTTTGTAAATGGATGTCTGTTTAATATGTTTTCCTTCTTTTATTATTAAAATAAATTTTTAAAAAACCCAAGAACAACAACAACAAAACAACTCCAAAACTTTAAAATGAAAAACTAAAAAGGGGCAGAGGTGTAGCTCAGTGGTAGAACACTTGCCGAGCACATACAAGGTCCTGGGTTCGATCTCTAGTGTCACAAAAAGAAATAGAATATCAGGGCTGGAGGTGTACGTAGCTCGGTGTACGTAGCTCGGTGTACGTAGCTCAGCGTACAGCGCGTCCTTAGCAGGCACAATGCCCTTGGTATTATTCTCCAGCACCACAAAAAACCAAAACCCGAGAAACTTCATTTCCTCTGACTCAGTCTCTGAGCTGCTCTTCTGACAGACATTTTAATTCAGTGATTTCCTGGCAAACTGGAGTTCAGCTGTTTCTCATTCCATGTTTTCAACAGTCTTCAAGTTTCTTTTCACCCCTCACCCCCAGCCCTGGAGCTCACAGTCACTGGGGGAGGGGCCACTGCCCAAACGCTAGGGGACGCTGCTGAGGTGGGGCTCACACTCCTCAGATGCTGTCTCTCCCGGGGAGTAGCCCTGGCCCACTCACGGTGGTCTCCGTAAGAGGTGTTTTCCTGTCCCACTCCGGGTTCTGCTCAGGAGCTGTTTTCTTTCTGCATCTGGTGGGATGGCTTCTGGCCATCAGATCCACAGGAGTCACTTTACATTGTCCTCGGCCCTACCACTGGGCATGGGCTTGAACTTGTGATCCTCCTGTCTCAGCCTCCCAGGATGGGCTTGAACTTGTGATCCTCCTGTCCCAGCCTCCCAGAGTGCTGGGATCACACGTGTGAGCCACCACAGCCACCAGCTCTGTGTAGCCCCTTTGCCTCCCACCTGGTGCAGGGGTGGTGTGATGTCTGTCTTCCTTGTGGGAGGCCTTTAGGCCTGTCAACATCTTGCACTCTCAAGGTGAGGCCCAGACCCTACCCCTCAGGGATCCCCAGAAAGGCTGCACCCTCCTATGCCCCCTGCCACAGCTTGGCTGGGTGAGGCCAGTGCTATGGAACGAATGTGCCCCCAAATCATGTGTTGAAACTGAATTGCCAGTGTGTTAGTATTTGAGGTGGTTATGTCACGAGGGCAGAGACCTCCTGAATGGAATTCTCAACTTTATGAAAATGCCGAGGGAGCTGCTTTGCTCTTCTGTCGTGGAGGACACAGCACTCATGTTGGAGCAGTAACACCTCCCACCTTGGGAGCGGGCCTGGGGTCCCCAGACAGCAAGCTTACTGCTGCTTTGACTTTGCACTCCAAGCCTGCCGTGCAAGGAGAAAGTAAATTTCTGCTGTTTATAAATTATCCTGTCAGTGGTATGTCATTAGGATAGCAAAGAGAACTAGGTACAAAACAACAGACTTCAGGGGCTGGGGACATAGCTCAGTGGCATAGTGCCTGCCTGGCAAGTGCAAAGTCATGAGTTCGATTCCTGGTACCACCAAAAAAAAAAAAAAAAAGATTAAAAAGAAATAA